CAGGCCCCCCATGCAGTTTCTCAATTCTGGGTTTTAAATACACTGACAAATTTATGTCCCTCTTTTTGGGGGGTTGGGGTTTCACTATCTTTTTTAAAGCTATGCATATGTTTTACTTGGTGTACCAGCCTCCTAGTGCTCCCGGATAAACGTTCATGGAAATGACTGGACCAGATGATGTTGAAATTGTGTGTTGAATGTGCTCAAGAGATAGTTGCATGTCTTATTACTTCCCATGTTTCTCAAGATGACGCGACTGTAATAGATATTCATTTTATTGAAGTATGTTGACATGGGGAATGTGTAGGGAAAGGGGGAATATATTGTTCGTCCAACCTGATGTTCTATGCAGAAATTATATGTCTACGTTGTGTCTCATGATTGAATTATATTTGCTCATAGGTTACCTTTTGACCAGGAAAGAGGAGTGCACTGGATCGCCTGAAAAGCCGCTTTCAGCTCTGGGTGCTATCAGCTACAAAGCGTACTGGCGCAGTGTGGTACTGGAACAGCTCAGTGCTGTATCGGACAAGACTGTGACAATCAAATGTAAGGTTTTGTTTTATGTATGTTTTGAAAGAAGCATCTTGCAGGCAGAAGCAAATCTATGCTTTTCATATTTTGCTTCCATGTGTGCTCGGTTTATTTTTATTGGTCAGTGCTGATCTTCAGAATTTCCAGATAAATTGTTCTAGCTCTTGCTAATATTTTATTTTGTGATAGTTTCCAACTGGTTTGCAATTTTCCACAAATGTGCGTAAGCATGTATATTAAGATGATTTAAGTTTATATTCCATTTTAAGTGAAAATGTCATTATGTTTTAGTTTTCGTAAGAGTTTTACAGCACTTACAACATAGTCAGGTCGTATAAATGTCGAAAATTGATGTGTTACAAGAGAGTAACATACATAAAAAGAGGAGGAGGAGAGATAAGGACGATAGATGTTTGATAGGAAAGAAGGAGCAAACCACACCTGAGCACCCACCAACTACATACATGTCATTTTCTTTGCACTGGCACCTCTGTACTACAATAGGTGTCGGGAGTTCTTGTTTTTGTACTGGAACTGTGACTTCAATATATGTTGAAGAAAGACTTGATTCTCTGAAGTGATGATTTTTTTGTTGTTGTTTTGTGCTTACTGAGTTATGCAGAAATGTGATTGGAGTTCAAACAATTTCTTTCATATTGTTTTGTTTTTTCTCCAGCCATCAGTGAGAAGACTGGTCTGTGCCCACTTGATATTCTACAAGCTCTTAAAGACCTCAGTTTCTTGAAGCAACATGTGGACAAGTATGTATACATTACTTTCTGTGTTAAGAGGGTAAATAATATATATGGCAAAAGTAATAATTATAATAAGTATGTAAATTTCAGTGCTTCCAAACTTTTTCAGAAGTACAAATGTCCTTAAAGTCCTATATTTTCCTTGCGGTCTCATCATACCAACTCTGTCTATAAAAATGTGTTATATTATAGACTAACAGGTATTTCATAACAAAGGATCCATTCTTGCGTATGGCGGAAAACACACAGGCAATGCTGGCATCTACTTCAAATGGCCTATTTTGGCAATTTTTCAAAATGAATGCACAGTATTGAATATGGTATCAAAATTAAGCTCAAACCCTGTAGATTTCAGAAATGTTTATCTCATGGGCAACAGCTGTCTCGTTATGTAATAAAAGGCGTGTAATCACAGGTACCCAGGTGTAAACGTTTAATTAACATAAGTTCAATTTTCTCACTTAAAAGTGATTTCAATTGCTTATCTCTGCAAGAATGTCTTCCAAACTGAAAGCAGGACCCATCCTGATATACTCAGAGCATATATCAGCAAAAACAAGCAGAAAATTCGAGAATTTATGAAAAGAGGAGACAATTAAATGAAGCCGACCAATGCACGGTTTACACAAATATATTTATTACACCAATTAATGAGTGGACATGAGTAAAAAAAATGGGAAAATGAAAATAATGGCCTTGAGATCTAATGCCTCTTGTTAGTCCTTTTGTATTTGTCCAGGTGAAGAAGTCTAGTGATCCCTTATTTGTGATTAGACCAACATTGTTGCTCTTGGAAAAGACGTCGCTGGGGCTGCTCTTTTCCATAAATCTCACACTGAAGTCATCTTCCTCGAGCATTTTAACCTTAACCTACAGAAAAAAATCAAATAACACACCTTGAGAAATAAAGAACTTAGTTGGGAAAATCATCTATTATTTGTAAAAAATATTATGGATCTGATTTGTCACATTTCAATCGGAACTAACAATTTTAGGCGTTTACTAACCATGGCAGAATATGCCCACCCTTGCCTCTTTTGGCCTCTATTCTTTCAGTAGGTAGTAGATGTTCTCGGCTTTTTTAAAAAGTCAATTGAATGTATCACACCAACATTTGTCTCTTTCTTATTGTATTTATTAGTGGGTCCCTTGTAAGCCTTCTTTCTCGCATTCTGCACAACCTTATTTGATTTCTTTTCCTCATAATATGAAACAGCAGTCTCCTAAAGAAACATCTTTCTGTTGTGTCTAGATTTAACTCTTTGTTCACTATCTTTGGTAACTGACAACTTATATTCATGGAACAGCCATTCAGAAGGCTTGACCACAAACAGTTCCAAGGATTGTGAAGTTAAATCAAAGAGGTCTGGAGACACACATGTATATAAAGACTGACTTTAAATCATCATATCTTCTGGAATCTCTTCATTGTCAAATAAATAATCATTGTCTTATGAATCCTGTCTGTATTGGAGTGCGCCCCCCCCCCCCCCCCCCCCCTTAAACTTAAAATTCCAACTTTTTGGAAAAGCCTTGGTTCCCCTCTTTATTTGGAAGTTTCTCTACATAGTATTATTTTTTCTTACATGTCTCCCCTCCCCCCCCCCCCCCCCCTCCTATTTCCATTCTTCTATGTCTATATTGCATGTTTCCACTATTGATTTTGACTGTCTTCTCTTCTTGTTCATTAAATTAAATTTAAAATATTTAAAAAACTAACTAAAATTCATTGGAAGCTAATCCAAGTAGATTGGGGCCTATCTATTCTATTCTGAACATTGCGACACAACGATCTTTGAAATGCCGTCCCCCCTTCCTCCCCCTTTCGGATTACGCGGCCGCCATTTTCTTGCCTTCGCGGCGATTTCGTGTCGTGCTTACGAAAAAATTAGATTTAGGCGATTATCTCACATCATGGAGCAATTTAAAGATTTATTTACGCTGAAAATGAAACTAGCATGGATAATGACTTACATTTCGTGATATTTGGGTTGAAAATCGTGTTTAAGACTTAGATTTAGCCTCATTTTGTTGTTCACGGGTCTTGTTTGTTCGACCTGCGCAAAGTCCGACCGATGCACGACAGACATGAAAAATGCGGTTTTTCAAACTTAATTTAACAATAAATGTTAGAAAATGAAGAGAAACGATGAAACTATGGCCTAGGACTGTTAAAAACTTCGTTTACGACAATTACTGCGAGATCGTTGTGCAGTGATCGCAAATTCCAGTTTGTTCACCCGGTAGAATACGAGCGACGGAAACCGGGATGATCGTGAATGAATAGCCGTAAATCTTTTAAAAATCTATTTTTCTTCCTTTTTAAAATACAAATTATCGCAGTTATGATTAAAACATTGTCAAAACATGTTTAATAGCAACTAGAACAAAAAATATGCTAAAACTAACAAATTTAGAATTACGTGAAAAAACGACATACACATGCCGACAATGCAGGCAATTAGGATTTTTAAAAATATTTTTTTGAAAATCGTGATTAATTTCATGTTTTTAATGCCAAATCGTACTATTATCATTCTAGAACAAATTCTTACAAAATTACCATTAAAAATTATGAAAAAAATTAATTAAACTTACCCTTCTCTCCATGTGTTCTGTTGTCAAGTAAACATTGTCTGTCGTCATTCCATGGGTCCAGGAACTTCACAAAACCACAACTTTCACAAAATGTAAAAACTCACAAAAATGTTGCTGTCCCAGCTTCTCGAAACTTCACTCTACGATATCAACTAAAGATACACACACAGAGTTATCCCATTTCTGAGAAAAATTGTTCAGAATACAGAAAGTGCCATTTTGCCCTCATCTGTGTTTTCCGTCGTATGTATGTTCTTGGACAAGTTCGGATGTGTATGGTAACTCTCTGTGATCAAACAGGAGAATTATTAAGAGTACACATTTGTTGCATTGCATGAAGATTGATATCTGTAATTTGCCTACTGTCAAATTGAATTTTTGTGGCAATGGAATGGGAACTTGCTTAACGGGAGGAGCTACCCTTGAGGACCATTTTCTATGTTTGTTGCTCAAGATCAAATCTAAGTACACATATAAGTTAGACATAGTAAAATCTCTTGATAAGCAATTTTATTTTGGCATAGCTACAACGGTTGCTATGGAAACGGCCGCCATCTTGAAAATAAACAATGAATTTGAAATCCCTAAGGCTTTCTTATTTACAGACCAAATTTGGTGAGAGTATACCTGAACCAAACCCTATCAGAGTAACAGCAAGTTTTTTTCAGTACGTGCAAAAGAAAAAAAATTATGAGAAATTTCCCAAAGTATAAAAAACTTTTTCTAAATTTAGGTTGCGTAATCGCTTGCCAAAGGAAAAGTGTTACTTTTTTTTCGCAAATATCTTTCTGTTACATTGATGGAAGCCTTGCCAACTATGTTTCCTGAAAGTTTCATGTCAAAAGGATGAAAACTAAGGAAGGAGTAGGGAAAAAACTGCACAAAAATTACATTTTGCGAAAACCGACAATAATTGTGAAAATTCACTATATTAATCCATCCTCATGTTTTTAAAGGCAAATTACCTGTAGAATAAAGTCTTTCTCAATTGAATCCATGCTATTTTTAGACAAAAAACTTGTGGATCTTCAAAAATCAGCCAACATAAAATGTGCATAGGCTGACCCAAAATCTGCAAAAATCAAGGGTCGCTCCTCCCCTTAAACATTGATGGCAAGGGAAACATAAAAGTCTAATATACATACGCATGCTTCCAATTACGCTTTTGGCAGCATGTTCAGCCAGCAACGTTCATCAGTGAACAAATTGAATAGTGGGCCCACTAAGACCAAGAAGTTTTTCTCTCACTTTTTCAATAACCACTGTCCCTGGTCCCTGCCAATGGCCTGTGCAGCCTCAGGGTACCCAGCATAGAATTTTTCTGCTCTATTTGTTGGAAGCACTGAAATTATTCAAGTTTATTAATTACTTGAATGTATTGCTTCTATTTGTCGTGATTTTAATTGCCTTAAAACTTCTATGCAAATATCTTAATTTGCGTTAAAAAATATTTTGTTAGTGATGGTTTCCTTTATTGTTGTTATTTATTTTTGATTGACAGGGTTGGGTTGATTTAAATCTGGTTGATTTAAATCAGTTGATTTTTTTATTTAAATCAACTTGATTTTTTAAATAAAAATCAGTGATTTAAATCACTTTATAAAAAATAATTTTTATTCGGTTTTTACACATTTCAACATTCAGAATTCCTTTCCTTGGTTTCATAAAACAGATATAAGGTTCAGAAGACTAATATAATCATGCTTAAAAGTCTGATTTCCCCCCTTTCACTGTAAAATAATACAGTATTCAATTTACTTTTTTTTTCCATAATTGAAACCAGAGCTGGGTTGATTTAAATCAGTTGATTAAAAAAAAAATTTAATCAATTTGATTTTAAAAATAAAAATCAGTGATTTAAATCACTTTTCAAAAAAATGTATTCAGTTTTTACATATTTATACTTTCAGAATTCCTTTCCTTTGTTTTATTTTAAACAGATATAAGGTTCAGAAGACGAATATAATCATGCTTAAAAGTCTGCTTTCCCCCCTGTCACTGTAAAATAATACAGTTCTCAATTTATTTTTTTTTCATAACTGAAAACCAGGGTTGGGTTGATTTAAATCGGGTCGATTTAAATCAGTTTAAAAAAAAAAATTTTAATCAACTTGATTTAAAAAATAAAACTCAGTGATTTAAATCACTTTAAAAAAATGTTTTCTGTTTTTACATCTTTAAACATTCAGAATTCCTTTCCTGGGTTATAAAACAGATATAAGGTTTAGTAGACTAAAATTGCTTAAAAGTCTGCTTTCCCCTGTCACTGTAAGTAGTAAAATAATACAGTATTCAAAATTTACTTTTTTTTCATAATTGAAATTAGCATTTTCTTTTTCTTTTTAGACAAACACAAGCGCGTGCTCGCACACACACTGTAATAAAAATAAAATGCAAGTTTATCTATG